GTTGGCTCGAGAGTTCTTAAAATGCTTGTCAACACAGACAAACTGATATATTGGTTCAAGTGTTCCCTACCGGTTTGTTATTGGATTTTATACAAACAACAGAAGAGTGCAGAAAGACAGGAGAATAGCGCCATTGTAGATCGAGCTTATACTTCTGAAACCCTACTACTGGCGTTTAAGCAAAAAGCTCTACGTAATCTATATTCTGTAAGTTGAAATATTACAACTAACACAATTCTGTACAATATAACGAACGAGAGCCAGACTTCTATGGTTTTTGTGGTCGCCATTACTGCTAGAATCGTTGCAGTGAATCATGATTTCCTGTCACCCTATCTCAGACAGTCCTACTATTATATATTCTTTGAGCCGAGCCTTACATATATCAATGTAAACGTCATAAGCTCTCGGTAGCGATCATGTGGATGAAGCAACCTATATCATTAAGGTTACGGTCCTTTTGTGCCGCCCTTGGCTTCGCCATGTTGGCGAGCCAAAGTTCGTTTGCCTAAGTCGAACGATTTCGGGAACTTCTGCTCGTCGGTCATGCTTACTTATTTTATCATGATTTTAGGTAATCCTGTTGGATAGAATGTTTTACTACTCCGGCTGCCGACACCAACTCGGCTAATATAGTATAGTATGATTAAGGACATCCTTCAGAGTGTATGGGAATCAGCGGCGTAGAGTAATTGTATTTCAAGGGATGCTGGGTTGGCGTTCGAAAAAAAAATAGCCGTAAAAGCTGTGATGACTTTATTACTGATATGACGTTTGGTACTAAGAAAATATGATCCGCGAAATGCGTGACAATGACGTTATACATACACATAGTCGGGGCTGACAAAACGTGTTCATACTACCGATGGGTGTGTTGATATGAATGCAGATAGAGCGCTTCTATGGACCTTTTACATAGACTGTACAATATACCAACGGCGAAGGAAGAAGTGATTGAAGGTGATTATTTCCAACAAAATGGCGGAGCTAAAGTTCTTTGGGAGACCTGCTTAAACGACGCAGGCAAGCGAACGAAAGTCTAAGCACAGACAGCGAGCGCATTCCGCTATTACGAGAGCTGACGCAGAAATATTGAACATCGTTTTCGCATGCCTGGTGACGGAAGCGACTGTTAGTAAATAGAAATGTTTCGCAGTGTATGTAGAACACCTCGTCGATGGAAGCTAGCCAGGTCTCATTAAGGTTCGCGATTCGTCGATTTTTCTACTCTGCACCTTCGCCCTGTAGGGGCGTACTGTCAAACATCTACACTTTACTAAATAGGATAGCTTTCTTTATTCACGTAAATTGTGTAGCGGTTCTTCGTATGTTTCTATCATCCTGCTGTTGGGCAGTTGATGATCTGTTGTCTTCCACAGTTCTTCCTAATCGTCAAGTCTATCGAAGCAACCGTATCCATAACGATACAAGAATATTGTAATGGACAGCGAAAGCGAACATTAGCTAATCTTCGTCTGACAGATTTGATATAGAAAATCCGCTGTTACTATACGGAGGATTCTGATCCTGAGAAAGGATAGCGAAAGGAATTGCTTCCCGTACGCTCCGTTGATAACAAACTGCTTCGAGAGAGATACATTGTTCATTTAACGACATGGTGTTGCTGGCCGAATATGTATGTGTAGTTCATAGGAACGATACTATTTCTGCTCGTTCAGGCACTCTAACCTATGCTATAGCGTTTTTTCATCCTATTTGACCCTCTCGCACCGCTTAAGGCAACGTCGACCAGCCGGTCGTAGCCCGCGTTGGAAATAGCTTTTTGTTTAGTCAAATTTGCTGTTGTAGTCAACGGCCTTTGACGCGTTTTGCCAGTTGTTCGGTACTGTTGTTAGCAGTGTAACTGAGCACTCATTGTCCATGATTGTTGAAAGCCTGTTGAATTTGAAAAATCGAATTTTACAACTATTGAAATTTTTTGATACCTGTACTGTTTCAAAATTGAATAGACGTCTATCGGTATGGGTATGGGAAGGTAATGCGCCTGAAAGCAAGCGGTAGGGTGCATCGCTGCGTTATGCATCCAAAACGTTTGCGTGTATTTGGAAGCATGCAAAGAAATGTGTGTACATTTACCTGGCCTTAGGCTGCTTATCCTGATAGGAATCAAACTCGTCATAAATCGACAATATTTCATAATGTATATGGTTTTCAGCAAAAAAAAAAAAGACAAAAGTGTTTAAAGATATTATATTCTTGCGCAGGCATTTCAACAAGGCGAACGGGAACGTTAGTTGAAAGAAATGAAGACATGAAACCTCGTTGATCCATACTTTACTCGAAATAAACTTTCTGCACTCACTTTTGAGCCTATTTCTGTGTGTGGAGATACAAAAAAGAGATCTCACATAAAGGCAATTTCCTTGTAAGAACGAATTTCTATTTGCTACAATTCAGTATCCCGGAAAATATTCACTAGTTAATGAAGTGAGTATAACTAACTTGAGCTTGACTAACATCTCGTGCGTATTGCAGGCTGCGCCTGCTGGTTTCGAGGCGGACAAAAAACTATGGTAAGGCTCAGAGAACCACTAAGGCAACCAAAATCACTGCTCACTAAAGCTAACAACAGGGTCCCAGGCTAGTTTTCAAAGACAAGCAACAGCTTTCAAGTAACTCTGAGGAAGTCATATTTTAAGCCCTGCAACCCATCGAGCTAAGCCCTCCTAATGCCAACGCTGAGGGGTTTTGGCACAAGGAAGGACAGCCGGGAGAAATGTTGCAAAGAAAAAAACTTTCTTGCGAAAGGGACAAAGACAGGGAGGAACTAAGAACGAGCTACAGTAAACGGGATAGCAACAAAATAATTTCCTAATTTTCAGCCGAACAGTTATCAGGCAATATTTAAACAGTTTCATGAGTTCGTAAGACCTTATGTTGGGTGGTTATCCCGAACAGAATCCTCCACACGAATTAACGAACCTAATCTTACTTAGCTATAATGGTATATATTAGTTTTCATTAGGTCTGATGGCACGTCCGCCGACAGCGTAGTGAATAACGTGCTTGCCTTCTAAACTTAGGAGACACGCTCTTGGAATCCGAGCGTGGGCACACTTACTTTCGAGCTGGAAAAAACCAGTTGTCTGATGGGGTGCCTACTAGCGGTGCCGGACGTAAAACTGCTTCTGCCCGAGGGGAAACTCCTAACGGGGGCATGGATGAAGTGTATCTACGAATGCAGAAATCGAAAGGGAGTCCGATAGCTTGTCTTGCGTGAGGAGCTAGTGTATATCCCCTATATTCTTCTGTAAATGAGACGAAGTCCATTGGTATGCTATGTATGTTGCGGAAGACTGCAGTAGACGTGAGTCTTGCTGCTACTGCTGCGCCGGCCCTTGCTGCTTTTGCCGCGTATTAATGCCGCGTACATGTGACAGCATTCGTGGTCGTCTGCCGTAAAAGTGCGAGTTAGAAAAAAACGCATCCCCAACCCCAGCAGTAACAGTTAGCGGCAGTATTGTGGAAATGAAATGCTAAAGGCTTCGTTATGTTTCTTAAACGGCTCGCCGTTTGATCCGGTCTCCATCGGTTCAAAGGCGACGACGACGTCGTAGGATAGCCAACGACGTCGCCGAGTCTCACCATTCTCCAAACCATCTCACCAAACGCATTAATAGCTAAGCTTTTCAAATCCTCTTTGGTGAAATCTCCTCCAGTAGCTTGCTGTCACTGTCGACAGTATGTTGGCTGAAGGCTTAACGAAAAGGCCTACTGGGCCCGTTGCTGCTTAAGCTAACCTGGCCTTGCGTAACTCTCCGAGGCTACTGACGCACTTGCATGAGCTGTTCGCCTCCCGGCTCCATTTAAACGGATTAGCACTGAGCAGGGTTCACCCCTCCTCTATTCGGGACCAATTCGAACGGCGATAGCGACCTTGCAGGCTTTAAGCGAAAGCTAGTCTCTGCCTCTTGCGTCTTACACTAACGTGAACGAATCGCCGTCGTGAAAGAAATGACAGCGTGCACCATACGTAGAATAAGTGTCTTTTCCGGTGTATATGGTAGTTGTGGGCCAAAGCCGGCAGTAGCTATCGATCAACCTCTTTTTAGTGTAAGTTATTTTTAAATGTTGCGCATCTTAATGAAATAACGCACGCGTTCGCACCAGGCAGGTGAAACGGTGTACATGATAGAAAGCGCCGGAGTCGTAATCACGATCCTCTACCTGTCGAATACCAGCCACCAATGCTAACATACATACAAACAGCTAACACCTGGTGCATACATGTTGAGAGATTTACTTCCATGTCGAATCGTACTGCGTGCCCCGCTAGAGGCACAGAAAAAACATGGAAACGCTGTTTCACTGGAAAGGGACTAAACATGAACGACGCAATCTGTTTCCTTTTTTTTTTTGCTTGCAGAGAGTACACGGTGACGCATTATCTAGATGTTTGCAAGTATGTATAAAGGGAGAGTACGACTGGTTGATTTATGGCGGGCGTTTTAAACGGGGGTAGGTGATGACCACGATCTATGAGAGGGGTCTGGTAGCTCTACCGAGCAGCGTGTGGATTGTGAGGAGTCGATTAGCAGTTACTCGAATTAGAGTAGAAGGATTTGAGTAGTTAAGAAAGCCAACTATACGAAGTCTTTCCAGCAGTCAGCTGGCAGTACTTCACGGCTAGCAAACGCATACAGGTACATATAGCTCGCCATAGAAGAGCTTCCAAACCTCGCTTGTCCATAAGCTGATTAGAAACGATATGTAAGCTGTTTAACGCTATAAGGACGCATGGCTTTATCACGTTAGATTAACAGACAAATAGGTCTTATTAGCTCTGCTGAAAAGGTTTAGTCTTTTATTTGCAATTTTTTTCTAAATATATTGCTCACGTGTCACCATACTGACCGAAATATTGATAAAATGTTACAAATCAAATGAGCCTTTAAATAGAATATCAGTGCATGAAAGATGCTCTCCTAAATCGCTTGCAGCTTCTAAATTTGCACGTGTTTTTTTATTGTGTTTTGCAGCCAGCGAAAAAAAACTGCTGGCTGGGACGTATTTCAGGACCCCCCACCACCTGAAGAGGACGACACGATCAACCCTCAATGGATCGATGTTTCTCTAAAGATCACGAAAGTCATTGTCTATTTCATCACAGCCTTAATCGTCCTTAGCAGTTCAATTGCAGCGAAAGGTAACCAGTTGTGGGAAAATCTGATCCTATAGCGTCTTTCTTGGCACTGTGTTATTATTCAACATGGGGAACGTTTGTCGTTCAACTGTGTATGGAACGTTGTCTGCCTTTCTCGTAAACTAAAAAAAAAACACGTATTCTAATAATATTACGTATTTGAACCACGACCAGACCCAGACAGAAAGCGCATGCATTATGTGCATACATTACAAGGGTGATGTCGTAAGTGTAATGTACGAAAATGATCTTAAATGTCGTATTTCCAATTTGTATTCCGTTATCAATCTGCTTGTTTGCGTCCAGACACGGTGCGCGTCATTGCATGTTTATCCTTTACTACTCATCTATGCATTAAACTGTCAATATAACTATATCTACGATCGGCTGCACCTTTTCCCAATGGTTCAATAAACTCGTACATCCTGTCACTGTTCTTCTACCACCCTACGTGTGCCCCAATGACGTTTTCCCACTTGTGTGTCTTACCGTTCAGCTGTTCCCATCGCTGTCTGTCTGAGGCTGGTGTCATTCTTTATAAAGCAATGCCGGTTGTAGCATGAACAGAAGATGGCACGTGGCCAAATGAGTTTTCAAATTTTGCCGCGACAAGCGAGTAAGATAGGTACCATTTTTAAGAGAAAGGAACATCGCAATGCGTGGCATTGCCTCAGCCGGCTAAGATCAATAGCGGTGAACCTTAGCCTCTCCAAGGGACTTTTCTCAATATCTGTGTGTTAAGTAAGATGAGATACCAGCTAGGTAACACTGGCTGTTGATGTAGATGTAAGAGACAGAGAGAGAACGGGAGTAGCGGTCTTAAATGCGATGCCTAGCAAGGCGCACATTGATCCAATACCCAATACGACATTACAAAAAGCAGCTGAATAGAAGAAGAAAAAGATAAGTTCAAAAACACGCCAGTCGAACACGCAAGTTACATAGTCGTCGTTTGAGTTTTCAAAAGAATCTGAATTGTCTGACGAAAGCGGAAACGCAGGCTCCAGAAAATGAGTTACAATTGAGACTTACGGAGTCGGTACCATCGTTGCTATCGTTAAAGTCTAGCCGCAGCGAGCATATGAGGTAGATAGCAATAGAAGAAATGGCCGAAGAAGGCACAGTTTCCCTGGGCGCTGTCCCAAGCCGGCCTCGTTGGAGGTAGAGGGCAGATTGCGCTCTGTCACAGATATAGAACACTTGTCGTCCAACGAACGCCGGCCTGAAGTAGTGATCCTCTGAAAAAATTAACCCCTCTTGCCGAAGCGTACTGATAGGACAAAATGGGTTGGTCACAAATGCGCTAAGTGTAACCACGGTAAAATGAATACTAATACATAGGTCCACCGCATGGCTCAACGGCGTCGCAATATCACAGTCTCTCCAATGGATAATCGATCTTGCGATTTAATTTTTACGATATAGAATAAAAGTTTTAGAGAAGGAAATGCTTTAAAAATGGCTACACTGATAGCTACGCTAAGGAAAAGATTTCAATCAATGCATTCGGTGTACAGAGACGAATGGTAATATATTAATTGGTGGGGAATAGTGTTAGCCGGAAGTCAACCTCGAGCACACAAAAATCTATCAGTTACCGATTTATGCAGAATCAATTATTTTAAATAACATATCTCAGCTTTTTTTGCTCGTTTATTTTATACCTTGTGTGGAAAAGGAGTTAAGTATATATGCTGCCGTTGTATCAGCTGATGCTTGTTATCATCAAAGTATATCTTACATGCCCGGGTGAACATATTCGTGAAGTTAGCTACTATGTGCTCTCAATGTACCTTGTCCATAACTAATCCATTTAAATCGAGGAAAATCCTTACGATGAAATTGCATCATGTGTTACTGTAAAATTTACCGAATATCGCCTGAAGCCGGGCTGTCAGATCTCATCCATGTCATCAATTTCATCTATTCCATCCACTGGATTCAAATTATTACCGAATTTTTGCCCGCCTTATTTTTTTGCCCTTTTTACTGATATTTCATATACTTCGTAATTATCATATACGATTGAGGTTCTATTTCAAGTAGTGCGTTATTCAATATCTTTCTGTTACGTCCAAAAACAGTTACCACCTTTCGAAAACACCGTACAAAAATATTGTAGATGCAGTTAGGCAGACGTTCATGCTCGCAAGGCCACCTTACGATGCATCTATGTTTTTTTTTTCGGCTCCACTCGTCAGTGGGGTTCCGGCCAGTTTCACTAAACAACATTTCATAGATTAGAATCAGCCCTGCAGGTTTCGATATCATACTTACCTCTACTACATTTCAGCCTTTGGCCGGTAGTTTTCTATGCCCCGTGGCCTGAAGCCATCAAAATTACTATTGATCTAGATAGATCTTTCTGTTAAGCTAGTTTGTTTTAGATGACATCCTGCAAGGCGTTTGCGGGTCATGTTGTTCCCCCTTTTTTCGCGGATTCTCCGAGTATCCTTGAGCTCACAATGAGGTTGATTTAGATTACACTGATGACAAGCGAGTCCGTCACTTGCCACCCTCTAATGGTTACTGCAAAAAAGCTGCAGCATTCCCACTGCCGCAACAGAGATTTTCTGTAAAGATTAGATAGGATTGTGGCACTTCATTAGTTATAAACTGAGGTCACTCACGCTGAAACACAGTCAAGCTATTCAATTATGTTCAATGACGAGAACGATCTATTGTGTAAACATGTCGGTGCAGAATCGGGTTCATAGTGAAAAATGATCTCTCCTATAGGGTCCAGCACCATTAAGCTTAACGCCATCAACCGAGTAGCAATATCCCCTACGTGACCCTAACAGTGCTGAAATTCGTAATCAGCACAAATCCAGGTACAATGCACATAACTTTTAAAGCCACAGTAAAATATCTCAACTTCCATATGAATTAAGTACTACCTCCGCTTACATAAATACCGTCCTATCTTCGATGGCTTTACTCATTTTCTGGATATTGCCTACGTATACACATTTACGCAGCAACCCTTTTTTGCTTTCCGATTGGTAGCGTTACGACATAGACACTCCCATCAAGTAACGTCTGTATCCTTAACCTTAGCAATCGTCGCGAACTGTTGACCGTAAGGACAAAACTGAAATAGCATCTACAAAACTAGCTTCAACTACCACTGCCCCATTGAAGAAGGCGGGAAAGTTAGTATGTCCAGTACAAATCGTAGCACGATACAACAGCCTGTCAACATACTATTGTGGTTCCTATGTACCTTATTTGTTGGTTTGTTCGGGCCGAGGGATTCTGTCGTCGCATCGATATCTCGTATATCAGTATAACGGTCCGCGGACCTACGCTGGCCTGTATCCGGGTGTTTGTGACCTGGATCCCGGCTATTCTAGCGTCGATTCCCGTTATGGCAAATGAATAGTGATGCTCATGGGGTCTTCTGTCGATACTTCCGTAGCTCTACTTTATTCGCCTTTACTGACACATGCCAGGGTGGTAGAGGTTATATTTAAACCGAGCAATGCAATTGCCGGACGCCTGGGCAGCAATTTGCCTTTTGATCGACGACGCCTTTCCACTTTATTTCCGGTTGTTGATTGTGCTATTATAAGCATGGCTCTTCTTCTGGCCCGGTTTAAGGAGGGACAGGATTTCAGGTCTGTGGATTCCTTCATAATGCAATGTGACTGAGTTGGCTTCCCGTGTCTGTCGAGGCTCGGTCGACGCGATGACAGAAGAGCACACGGCAACTGGCTGATATTCTTTCCTAGCAATGTCGATCCTCACCTAACGTTGCTTGACCATGCTATTCTATCCTTGCAAAAAGGATATCAGTCATTTCTTACTCTGTCACAGAAAGTAGCAACGTATGTAAAGCTCAGTTAGAAACGAGTTGTCCAGTAGGTCCACATAATCGGATAATATTGTTCTTACCATCTTAGTCCTTGTAATTTTTTTCATTTTATACAGGTTGGTTAAAAACTCAGTCGCACTTATCATGTACATAATAGGCTACTTTAAAATGATCATACAAGTTTTCTGTAAGACTCAAGAAAGTTGGAATTAGCAACCCTTTCCCAGACGAATTTAAAATAGGACTGCCACTTTTGGGGCTTGTCGTGAATACACGTGGCAAATTGGACTTGCTTAAGTAGTCCCCTACATATACGCTACATATCGCATTCCATATTCAGCCAGCATCGGATGAAATTGTAGTAGCTTATTTATAATATAAATGACACCAAGTCATATAATTAGCTTCCTAACAAAGGTTGCACAAGTGTGTGCTTATGAACGCCTAAAACAAATGGCGGGAATCTTACGGACAGAAATTGCCCAGGCCTTCAGGCCTAGTTCTCTTCTTGCAGCATTATACGATCGTTCAGTAGGAGGAACCACAGCACTATCACGTCAGTTATTTGGGCCGTGTGTATTATTGATTTCTGTATCAGATCTTCCTATGAAGGTACCCGTTATAGATGCAAATTATCCTTAGTTTACCATCTGTTTAGAGTTATGTTGTAGTAGGTTGCGTTGATAGAAATCTATGCGTAGTATATATTAACTCTGGCCTGCCAGCCGGGTTTCCCGGGGTGTGGTTACTTTTGATTTTTGCATAATAATAATAATAAAGATTATAATTATAACCTAAATGCGTACGTACTCTTATTAACAAATACGATTGTCTGTTTTTACTCGTACAGGCACGCTACTCTTCATCACTTCACATGTGGGTCAGAAGGCTGTGTCGGTTTGTCGTCAGGGGCTCCCGGTCGAACGCGACAAGGATTATGAAGCAGCGATTCCATCTGTGGAACGTGTGGCCTGGGTGTGGTCCCTCTTCCTCGTCCTTATCATGCCCGAACTCTTCACACTATTTCGGGCCGGCAGGGTCTGCTTTTTCAAGAGTTACCGCCCGCCAAGTAAACCTACGTTTATTATGGTAAATGTTCTATCACGTTAGCTAATGGGAGCATTATATGGTATAAATGAAGTACGTAATAGCGTTTTTAATGTTCAGCCCTGAAAGGGGAATCGATATATAGAATCGGTTGCATTCGTCTGCTTCCGAGTCCTTTCTTCGGTTTCGTGCGACGTGCCCTCTTTCTTACCTTTATTGACCTCCAGACCATGACGATGTAAGAAATCGATCACTTCGAACGATTTAAAGACCTGAGTTATTCTATGAATGGCAATTCCTTCTTATCATTGCTGGGCCTCAGTCACCGTAAATTCCGACATACGCAGATGCTTGCAGTAAATCGTCGGCAGTATTAGTGCAAGCTAAATCGATTACCGGCAAAGAGCATCAGGGGAGTGCATTCGGGTAGCGTGCAAGGAAGCAGGCTCATTTCCGCGTTGGGTGATATTCCTTTATGCAAGTTCTGAGCTGCACGCAGAAAGATCTGCCATTATAGACGGGAAAATATGCAGAAAGACGCTAGATGCTACGGTAAAAAAGACTCAAGGAGACTGCTATTAAGGGTGCAATAGCAACAGTACTAGTCGTTGGTACCAGAATCTTACCTGTCCTTCAATATTACCTTTTCAATGCTGGTTTTTATCATCACAACACCTGTCGCCTTCAACTAGTCCAACGTCATCGACATTTGCCCGTTGAAGGAAGCTTTTTTTTTTTGTTGTTCGTTGTCCGAGCCACGCTGTGGTGCCTGCTCTATATTTCCGTGATCATAAATCTGTTTCTGAGCTCGAAGGCATAAAGCGCTGTTTTCTATGCTTTGCGAAAGTAAGCCGAACGTAAGAGGCTAAAAATAACCATAGGATTCTGATTTGGGACGCCTTCTAAAGCCTTGCATGATATCATTGGAAAATGGGCACAGCTATACTAGAATCCGGCCGTTCTACGCTTGTACGTATTTAAGCTAACATATGTATAGATGCAGGCTTGCCGTGCGGATCGAATTAAAGCGATCGGTAACACAACTGTGACCGTTGGCTGTTCGTATTAAATCATACGTTGACCTATCTAGCATGAGAAAGATATGAAGTTTGATATTTAAGTTTTTGCATGGAAACGCTACTAGTGGTAACTATGAACTATGTTACAGAAGTGGTTCTATCTTATAATGTCCTTCGTAAATACTGCGAGACGCTATACGTGTGCACTAAATGTAAAAGCATGCTTAATTATCAAAATAATGGGGGCTAATAGTCGTCTAATGTAATGTCTAGAGGCAATTTTGGACGTGAAACTCGAGGCATATACTTGATGTGGGATTAACATATTTGCATTATATATGTGTGATAGCTAACATTGTTTTATGGACGCTGTTTATTCGGAATTATCTAGTTGGCTTTTTTTTTCGAAAAAACTAGTTGGACCGTGACTGCACCTGCACCAACAACGCATGCAGTTACTCCGTATTCGTTGACCGCTCCTAACTTACAGATGTTTATGTGTCCTGTAAAAATAATTGAATAGAATATGCCCCACTTTACTGGCAACACCATAATCCTATAACTGTAGAACTTCCGTGGATTCTGGACAAAATACTGTGATAGGTAATTTTTGTATCCATCCATCCATCCATCGAAACGAAATTGACACTGTTAAGTAAGTTCTACAAAGACAGAAACAGATGATTGTCTGATGGTGTAAGATACGGGCTACATGGCGAATACCGTAAAATTTTCCATCTAAGTTCTTCCAATTTTCGCGGAGTAGCGTAAGATGTATGTGATATGGCATTGTCATGGTGGAGGGCAACTCCTAGCGCACGACTGCTTTCCAGTGCGATCGTATGTATACGTAGCATCATCTTTGGTGGCGTCAGTCTAGGCTTTGCCACAGGCTGTGGAGCATATTTCTTAGACTTTGTTTCTCGCCCGTGATTAACTGCGGTAAAAATGACTCGATTCTGTTGGGATTTCACTAAAATTTCGTGGACCGAAAAGCGATCGCAGGGAAGCTTTTACTCCAATTAATTTGGCATTCGAGCATCGAGCTTTTTTCTTGCAGCCGGCTTTCTTCAAATAGTATATGTTTAATTCCTTGACGATAAAATTGGACCCGCTTAACTGTTGCAATGTTTTCATCAGCTGGTTTCGTAATTGGTCGACCCTTATCTCGAGAAGCCTCTTCACATCGAGATCACGAGCAAGAGAGCAACAGAACCATCTTTAAGCCGTTTCCGTCGACGATGCATGTTTTATGGGCCTGGACAGTGTCTGTGCCTTGAATGTACTAAAACATAGAGAATGTTTGCAATATAAGTGTGAATGAAGACAGTTCGGCACATCCATCAGCTTATAGATAATACTAATGGCGACACGGCACAGCTAACGTTGGCTGACGTAGCTGGAAAACCGTCCATAATTTTCCGCTAACGGAATATGTTCATCCCTCTAGACGACAACAACAACAGCGATGCTCTCGACATCCTAACCTATATACTGTTTTTATTTTACACACTTTGGATGACACACACAAATGAGGACTTTGGGGTTTTGCTTTGAAGACTCTATTTAAAAACAACCTACAGATTCAACGAAATTCTTTTGCATGTGTTGGAAGTGTCATTCCCGAATACACTCATCAATCACCACGGTTGCAGCCTTAGTTTGTGATATAAACCAGTCTCTAGTCATCCTCAGTATACTCCTTTTTAATACACAAACAACTTTAATAACAATCGTGTGTCAAGCGATATTGGTGGGTGTCAATTCGTTGAAGTCTTATTTAAATACGTTATATGCAAAAAAATTACATTTTAACTGAGCTGATAACTAGCCAAACGTCCTAAAAATGGTAAAAAAAATTATTCAAAAGGACTAACTTCTGGAACTTACCTGAACAAGTAATATTTTCAGAATGGCCATTAATTAATCCATGAAACATTTAGATGTATCAAAAATGCTTAATAAATCAGGCTTTCTTCTAAAGCTAAGAACAGCAATTGCATGCCCGTCAAAGTACGTTAGCTACCCCATACCTGGGTATAATGTTTGGCTTTTTTTTTTTTATTGATTTTACAACGAATCAAGTTGGATACCGCAAGGCTAGACAATAGGCGAAACAAAACGTTTTGATCAACGTTCAACGAGAGAAAACCTATTTTAAATTGGCCTCGCTTTGCGCCGTCTTGGTTACAGCGAAAATTCCATTATATTGAAATAACTTATTTAAATCGCATTGAAATTTACAGTGTAACCTTTTCTGAGTACCCGATAGCGTAACACTGTTAGTTGCGTTTGTTAGTCGTTCTCTCGTAAGGTATACGCTTTGCTTGTTCAGTGATGACTTTGAGCAAAAGTAGCTGATTTGGTCGGTTTCGTAGGTGTTGATTGAATGAATGCCAAATCCTAGGTTCCAAATGGCGATAGTTGGTATTCTGGGCTAAACAAACTTCAAAAATATGTGCCGTATTACTCGGCATACAAGTGGGTTCAGCTGATTACATTTAATACAGTAAAAATATGCCGGTTTTTTCTAACAAAGCGTGTGGGTATCCCCTCGCAAGCGCCGGCATCAGCGTCGTGGAAACTGCTGCAAGACGTCCAGGCTGTGCCAAGTGTTGGGGCAGGAAGTTTCATTTTTTGAAAAAAAGTCTACCATTTTTAGCTGTGTATTTCAGAGCTGGCAAAACTGCATCGACGTTGCAGATCTCACGAGCAATATGCGGCAACCTTTTTCTCTTATATAAATAAAAAAAACGTTTACCTTCTTTATGTACCGTCTTTCCTTGAATACAGCCCTTCGATAACGACTCGGATGCATACAAACTCGACTTAGTTAATAACTAAGTCTATCTTTTATATGACTTTTAAATAACTAATAAGACTAATCAACTTTCAGTCACTTATAGCTTTTCCTCAGACGCCAATCAAACCAAAGTTGCAAATTCAATCAATATATTTTCCAATTACAAACTTCATACTGTTATAAATACACTTATTCTGTGTAATCCTTAACGTAGCTTTTTTGGAAAACAAATTATAAAAACAAACATGTAAGCGATAATTTCTGTTTGTACCCTTTATCTCTGTTATCTCTGTGATTGTTTCATTCCTGTTTATCTCGCAAACAACTGCATCCCACAGAATGCGCCTACGCACTACTTTTTTTTTTTAATCAGCGTTGAACCTGACACAATGATTAGTCTATTTTCGCTTTACTTACATTTTAATTTCCGGTAGCTGACTTCTCTACTCAAACCTAACGGCAGCAACAGACGTTCACGCAAAGCAAAAAACGTGCTTAAAGATATGTTTTAGATCGTCCTACGATGGAATACGTCACAACCGCGTGTACAATGGCAGAAGTAAGAAAGCTGTATCGGTATTACATTAATCATAATATTAGTGGGTTATCGGCCTGATGCAATTATGAGTCATGATAACCGTCTAGCTACGGCATTTCGTAGAGCCTCTGCTGGCATATCGGGGCTATAAAAGGTGAAGAGACGACTATCCAGGTATGTTGGTGATGCCGGAGGCCTGAACTCTTACTAGGTTGCACAATGTCGTATAGTCTTCCTTAGCTCTGTTGCTTCCTACCGGTCAACTACCTTTGTCCGGTGGTTTTTTAAGCTGTTCGTTGGAAATCATCCCTCTGTTCGTCCAAATCAACGACTATATTCTACTTAAATCCAATCCACCATGACTCAATCGAAACTAATACTCCCTAGTAAATAAGCTTGGCTAGCTCTTATAGATAATCAGGTCTTCTTTTCTGTATTTTCTGCCGCTGTGGTGGTAGTCGTACAACCTTTATAGAGCTGAGCTGAGTTGACTGAACCAGCCTATGCAGGCCAACTCGTAGCCACTTCCTACCAGTAGCTCCGAAAGGCAGAAATGAAAAGAACGGCGGAAAAGTGCGTGACGCGTCACTCTCCACTGGCTTACGCCATATTGGAACGTCTGTTTTGGTATAGCAAAGGAGCAGCGAAAGATCGAAAAGGAAGCAATGCTTTTTGCACTTAA